ATGGCCTGTGGTGGTTTCAGGAACTTTTCTAAAAGTAAGCCAGAAGGTACATCTTAACCCCTAAGTTTGAAAGTTGGTGGTGCCTYTGCTGCTTTTCTCAAGGAGTCTCTCCCCGCCTGTAGGATGGAGAGAGACATCAGACTAGGGCAGGCAGTGACAGCCCAAGGAGCAGCAGGTTYACAGCTGAAGAGTAGGTTTATATTACATATAAGGAAAAAATACTTGACGGTGAGGTGGTAAGACATTGGCACAGGTTTCCCTGAGAAAGCAGTGGATGCYCATCCCTGGAAGTGTTCAGGGTCAGGCTCTATGGACTGGTTTGAAGATGAGAATCTATCTTCCAAATGTTTATGCACCCAAATTGCACGAATGCTGTATAATTTATCACAGAGCATTGTATTGCTAAAGTTTTGCAGGGGTTCAAAAGCAGCTGAGTAAAGTCCCTGAACAGAGGAATTGCTAGCAAATTACTGGACCTTCAACTGGCTGATGGAGATTGACGTCTAATCATTCAGTCATTTCAGTTTTCTACAGTTTTCTACTTTATTTGTTTTTATAGAGTGCTACCTTTGGACATTTTAAATGACAAATACTGCAAGCTGAACTGAAAATCACACAAAAAATAGCCATTAAAAAATAGGTTTGTAAATTTTCTCAATTAAGAAGACCTGGTATCTTGACAGGCAAAGCTCATGAGGCAGAACAGAGACTTGGGATAATGATGGGAGGTTTTTTTCACTTTTAGATCATTCCTGCACTGTGCCATGTTGTACTTATTTCCAGGAACTACATCCAGGGTGTTTGTCCCAGCAAAGTGCTGCCCTTCCTCCACATGGCCCCTTCTCTCGCCACATCTTGTTCTTTCTCACAGTGTGTTAGTCCCAACAATCCTTGGTTATTGCCAACAACCTTTGGTTGTTCCCAGCAATCCTTGGCTGACTCTGAAGCCGTCTGGCTCTTGGTGTTTGAGATGTACACATTAGCCCCTTATCTTCTGGGTTTCTACAGCTCTGTGGGTTTAAGTTGACCAAAAGATCAGTCACAGTCTATCACCTGTAAGCTACGGTTTTCGGTCTTATATTTGAATGTGAAAATAAGCCAGAGACCTTACTGCTTAATCCCACAACCCCACTGAGGCTATGGTGCAGCAGCTGTGTGTGGTTTGAGTGGTTTCTAGGTGTGCTGTTGCTGTTCTGGAAATAAAGGGGTGGTTATGTTAATAAGACTGCCAGTCTGCTGCCTTTCAGTGTGCTTAATCATAAGGAAAAAGCAGAGAAGGACWGAGAATGTTAAACAGGCAGTGTTWTCTTTGTGGGTGCACATACAATACAAGACATAGCAGGAAAAGTCTGTTTTTCACAAGACAATAAATGAGTTCTGTCACTTCACTAAACAGGGGCAAAGGCTTTTTGATGAATGAGTAAGATTATATAGGCTGAAGCCTGAACTCTGAACCATTAAAATACCTTATCCGACCAGTCAGATGGGAGCACAACAGAGAGGCTGGTGGGGGGAATTAAAAGCAGCAGTGTTGCTGCTTTTGCATATTCTTACCTTGATTATTTGACTCTTTGCCTTTCACACTCTCTTCCACAATAGGGAGGTGTAGAAACTGAAAGAAGGAAGAAGATTTTCAATTGTCATATTTTTAAACAAGGATCTAATAGGTTTTCCCGGRTGCCCTTGAGGAAGGTGCCTAGGGAACTAATTTCAGCAAGGAACTAATTTAAATTAGGAACTATTATTTGCATTTTGCCTCCTGTTTAATGGAGAATGAGGTAAAAGATATATCCCATGCTACTTCACGGAGAAAAAAATGTAGAGAATCAAAATGAGAGGAAAGTTGAAATCAGAAACTAAGCCTACACTCTGCAACCGTGGTGATCATCCTAACTYAAGAAAATTTTCAGTCTAGAAGATGTCTCTCCTGGTTTCTCAGGGGTGAAAATCCACAGGACAGGACTATTTCACTGAAACTATTTTGCCCCTGCCAGTCTCTGTGGGGGGCTCAAGAAATGAAGAAAACACTCCTGGTTTTCACTATTTTGCAGTAGTAAATGCCAGCTGAAAAAATAATGGAAAGGAGAAGTCTCTCTTAAATTAACTCTTGTCTTTTGCTACCTGAAGCAGTTGATTCTGGCACAACCAAAATTTTCCCACAACAATGTAATTACATGTTAACAGAGTAGGTGCATTTGGCTAAAACAGTWAGCAGAGATCATATTATCTGCTCCATCTTCCCAAGCCACCTGCATCATGTTGCTGACTGGGAAATGAAGTTTGTCTCAACAATAGGTCTCATGTGGTTTATTCTTGAAATGCAAGTGCCTCTCACTCCTGTGAAGTAGGTAAGCARACCTTGTGTAGATTCATATAACCAGGACTTGGGATATCTGAAACTCTTAAAACAAGATTCATCAGTCATAGGGGAGGGCAGGCCAACAGCTTGGACTTGCATACATGGGTTGGTTGGGAAGAAAGTCCCCAGAAATAAAATGCTGAGGTACAGTGAAGGTTATAGCCAGTGGCTGCTGAGGATACCAGCTGAGGRCAATGGAGACCCCAAGGGCATCATGACAGGAAAAGGTGACAGGGAAGTTCAAGAATATTGTCCAGTCTGGTTGGGGAGCTCAGGATGGTGTGAGGAAAGGGCAGGGGAAAACTCATGACAGATCTCCAGCCGTTGTCCAGAGTGCTGGCAGAATGCATGGACAGCCTGAGCAGGAGCAGCACCAAGGGGAAAGGTAGAATATGAGAAAACCCTGTGTTGCTGCTGTCTGCTGTAGCATGGTTTGATATTATTAATCCTTTATCTCTTTCTTCATTTGCAGACAGTGTTCCTGATGGAACACTTTTTCAGCCTCTGGAGTCCTGGGGGTTTTGTACAGATTTTCTGTTCCAAGAACCCATTTTTTTCTAAGTGTTAACCTGTTACCAGAAGTATATGAATTCTGTTTATTACATAACCTATCCCTCTTGATCKGTATTGGTCTGCCTTTCAAATTCCACTGCAGGTCCCTGCCTGAGGGCTCTTTGCTGTGCCTGTAGTCAGGGCACGAGCAGCTGGTGTGTGGAAGCCAGGCAGACCCGTTTTGCAAGTGTGCGCCTTCCTGTCACCTGTGTGTTGGACATCCCTGGGGAGACAGCTGAGAAGACCTAGAGGAGCAAAGAACTGAAGCTGGGYGGGACTGGAGTAGAAAAATCAGAGAGGAGGAACTTAGTCATAAAAATTACAATCATACCAAGGTAATCATCAGCATTATTGGGAGTGGCCTCACAAACTGGGAACAGGCAGCAGGAGAGCTTCAGGAAAAGACGACCTCAGGGCAAGGGAAGTAGTGTCATTCAGGTAAGTGAGAGAAAACACTTCTGAAAGGTCAGCCCATGAATATTTATTTTTGAAAGACTTTTGTTAACATAAATGTGACCTGAACTAGAAGTTAACTGTACTGTAAGTTTGTCCATCTGTATATGTGTGCATGTGCGTATGTGCGTGTGCTTACTGCTTGTAGTGAAGCTACTTAAAAATTTCTGTGGTCATAATAGTACTGGGGTTTKTGAAAAAAATAAAAGAGAGATATCCTCTACACCCTGGTTGATTTGAATGAAATAGCTTATAGGCATTTTTAACGAGGAGGAAATTAACAAGGTAATTAAGTTTTGTATAAAATTAGTCTCAGTTGACTGCAACAGGGTGATGCTGGGCATGTGTGTATAAATATGTCCAGTCTTTAGTTAAGTAATGTGTGCCCAGAACCCAGAACTAATTACCATTTTACTTCCCTTGCTGTTGCTTGATTGTAAGGTAGTGAACTCTAACCCAAAGTGGTGCAGATACCTAGATTTTTCTGTGTTTTCCTGTTTTCATTACCTGTATGTGACTGAGCTACTGATTAAATTATAAATAAAATCTCTGTAAAATCCACCAAGAAACATCCAGAACTTGGGAGACTGAAACTAAAGTTGTCTGCACAGCTTCAGGTGGCTGTGAATTTATGAAAACAGATCTATGTTCCATTTCTGAAGCCATTAAGAAGCAATGTGATTTTGTGTAGTATTTCTGTCATACAGTAGGTWTTTTACAACAAGAGTTATATGATGCATGGTCCTTTGGAAAAAAAAATTCTTCATTCTTGTCATGTTTTATCGAAGCTTTTGCTGTCACAGTATTTCAGAATTTCTGTATCAGCTYGTGCTGATGTTTAATACAGGCTACCAGCTACCAGCAAAATCAGAGATCAGTCAGCAGGGAGACACTTTCAAAGGTAGAATATGATTTTGACTTCATAAAAGGAAGTCATAGGTGAAAGTGTGCTGTTGAAAGTTTGGCCTCTAGACTTTTAATAGCCTGCTCATTAAGGGCTTCATCTTAATATATCCCTAAGGATTTTTTATAATTTTAACTTACTTTGCAGATCACATGTGTGTGAGGAATTACTTTTTGTGGCCTTAATTCAGTGGGAGTGATCAAGATATACGTTAATTTTCCAGAAACCATAGTAGGCCATGTCTACATTAGAAAAAAAGATGAAGACTTTCGTCTTAATCCTCGTTTGGGTTATGTGCCATTTCACATTTCTGTGACTTAGATTTCCRTATGCAGCACAAAGAAATTAAGTTTTGTAGATGATTGAGTTTAAGCAAAACCTAACTCTGTAAGAACTTGCATATCTCCATTGAAATGGTTCCTGTTTGGACCAACATTTTTAGCATGAAAGCACAGCAGCACTGAGTGCTCCTGACTCTCAATGCAGTAGTAACTGTTAACTTTTCSTGTTGTTTCTGCGATATTGAAAAGGAGCCAAGTTTGCCCTAAGTAACCACCTGCTCAAATAGCAGCATGGGCCTCATTATTTGCTGTTTTTTCCATGGTCTAGCTCTTTAGAAGTGGTCAGCCTATTTTTTTTTTTTCACTCCCTTAATATGCTTCTGTAGCAGGTAGCCTAGATTTGATATTCAAGTGTTGCTTCTAATTTTGGATTGAGAGAAAATCATGTGTCTCTGTATGTGATTTTTGAAACACTTTGTTTTCTTACTGGGTGTTACAGCTACCAGCTGTTTCAAAAGTGAGTTACTCTGCTAAGTCTTTATAGCCAAGACAGTGTTACAGCAAGCTACAGCAAATTATCTGCAATCCTTGCTCATAAGGACTGAAATTACTCTGCTGTGTTACAATCTGGGTTGGCTGGTTAGAATTTCCCATTCTACACAGTTAAAGATGCTGCTGGGTAACCCAYAGGTGCCTTGCAGTGAGAGATGAGATGATTCCATGGTCCAGGGAAACCTTGCAAAGATGTCATGGCCTGCCAGGCTGTTGGAAATAGTCACCAAGGTCTTCTGAAGGCAGAAGAGACAGAATATGTAGTCTAACAAATGCATGGCTAAAACCTGTCAGGCTAGTTTTTTATTTATTTTGGGTGCTGCTTTTAGTAAATGGTGCACATGTCAGAGGAAAAAGAAAAATCTCTGTTTCACTGCTTGCTTTGCAATGGTGCTTTTCTTCTCCCTCTTCTCTCGCATTCAATGTCCACAACTGGACAATYCAATGTCAACAACTCACATATGGTGATTTCCTGCTGTTTTGGTTCCTGCAGTTCCCTGGTAGCTCCTCTCCCTTCCAGCTGCACAGCCAGGACAGTGCGCTTGTGCAGAACAGTTGCCAAAGCCTYGACTGTTGACCATTTTAAAAGGTCAGATAAAAGAGGAGGAAAATAATAAAAGGAGCAGCATAATGGTGGCTGGAGAAACTGGGGAGCAAGGTTCTGTCCCTGCAAGAAAGGAAATAGAAGGCATCATGCTTAGGGATTTGTTTTGTCATTTATCTGTCAGGCAGTGTGCTGGACTGAAGTTACTGAATTGCTCAGTTGTTCTTTATGTGCCTGTAGTCTTGTTACAGYTGGGCCTCACAATTAGTGCATGAAAAACAAGTGTAAGAATATTTTTATAATAAAGTGGTGTGCAATTGATGTGGGATAGGACATCTGGAGAAATAACTGCATTAATTCGATATCAGCTCGTAGCACTTTTTAAAGGGTCTAATGAAGATCCAGATGAATCCTAGCCTTTACTTTTGTTGTATTAAAATAATAATTTGTTTCTTTAGACCTTCAGCTAATCATTACACAAAGATTTGCATGTTTGCATTGATGATGGGACCTGCTGTTAGTTCACAAGTCAGACATATGCAGTGGCAATAATGTATGTTTGCTGTGAATATGGACAATTTACTCTCCTGAACGTGGCAGGAGCAGGCAGTTTCTGTGTGGGCAGTATTCAAGCTGTCTGTTCCCATATGTTCCATGGACATATAATTCTTGATATTTCTTTCTTTTCAGTCGTCATCACAATGTTTGTCACTCAGCCTTCTTAACGCTTAGTCCTGGCATGTTAAATAGCATTATGAGCCTGATGAGAGCTTTAAGGCCATGAAATGTGAGAGAGAATTGATTATTTTAGGGCAAATCACTTTCCTGATTCAGTTTAGCACATTGCCATGTGAATGCTTCTGCTGTCACTATGGGTACAGTATACGTGTGGGAATGAATGACAGTGGACTGGAAAAATCATGGTAAGGCTTCTGCTAACACAGAGTGCCTGTGGATCTGTGCTGACACAGGAAATGGCTTCACAATGCAGCTTTAGATGAATTAGCCATTCACTGCCTATTAATACTAACCACTAAATGGCAGGAAATCACCATGGTGAAAGAGCAGTGAATTTTTCCTGCTAGGTTAGTGGTTTGAATCAGTTTACCATGTGATCAGTTGCACAACTGAGAGCAAAACAAGCAATGAGAAGAAAGCAGAGGCGAGATAATCACTTCTTTTGTCATTGGTGAGCACTTAGTTCAGCTCAGCTGCATTCACATTCAGTATTTGGGCTTCCTGAACTGGTTTAAGCAGCCCCCAAAGCTGCCATCTTGTAGCTGCTTATTCCTGTCCCTCTGTTGCCCTCTATATTTTGTCTAAAATGCCAGGGCAGCAAAACAGCTTGGCAAGCAACCATGGCAGAAAACAAAATGCCACCTTTTCCCAAGTGTTCATCTGGTTGGCAAATGTACATGGAGGRGCAGTGTTAGTGTAGGGCAGGTATGGGGGGTAATTAACCTGTCATTGCTGCCAGGCTGTGCAACTGCTGTGCCACATGCACGTCACCAAGTGCTGGTGACTGCAGTTTAACTTCTGCTAAGGTTTTACCTTTTATTTCCCATTGTCTTAAGAGCAGCTGCTTCTGCTGGTTTTAGGTACCATGGTCTTTATTGTATATTTAACTTGCACATCGGGCTTTGGGTTCAGGTGTCTCTGCTGGAGGGGAGGAAGGCTCTGCRGAGGGATCTGGACAGGCTGGATCAATGGGCTGGGACAAATTGTATGGGGYGCAACAAGGCCAGGTTCTGGGTCCTGCTCTTGCATCTCACCAACCCCCGCAGCTCCAGGCTGGGGCAGAGGGGCTGAGAAATAGCATTGAAAGGAACTTCAGMATTATCTTAGGGAGTACAACTTCTTTTTCTGCTTGCTGAGTTTTGCAAGAGGCACATAGAGTGTAAATGGACTTCTCGAATCAAGCTTTTCCAATCATAACACCTCCATAAGTAACAGCAGCACATGGGAGTGCCAGGGCAAATAAAGTGCCGGTTTCTGCCTGTGTTTTCATTTCTAGATCCCATAGTTCTGCCCTGAGTRTGGTGAGAAAACTATGGTGCCACCCACTGGCATCAGTGCTGGGAGGTGCATAAAGGAGTGGGGAGGAATCCTTTTTACAGTCAGGGAACCAGTGAAGAYATGGCTGCTGTGTCTACACAGTGCTTTTTCCATGGGTCTTTGCTGCTCTCTCTGTAAGCACAAATTGGTGTGTATGTGCTTTGGTGTGCCTGTGCATCCATGTTATTTAAACTTAAGTGTGCATGTCTAGTAAGCACCTTTAAAAAAAACATCAACAAGTTTTAAGATGGAGCTTGAACTGTTTATGACTTGGATTATACAACATGATTGCTGGCTAATGGTCCTAAAGTCTATTTCTCTATGATGCTATCGTGTCTGTCCATGTGTCTTTCTTTTCTGTGTATACCTGAGAATGAAAAAAGCCAGGATTGTTCCTGAGTATATGTGTGTAAGTGTGTGTGTGTTATGGCTGAGGTAGGTTGTTTTAGTATGCTTGCTTTCAGAGTGAACCTGAAAAGCTTGCTATTATTGCTGTGTTGCTACTCCTTTGACTGGATTCATGGTGTAGCCATACCATGGAACCAGATAAATTTGCTAGTACATTAAGAATCAAATTAAATTTAAAAGGAAGCAGACTTTTTTTTTGTTACCTTAAAGCACAGATATATTCTATTTTCCTCTCTGTACTGCCTCTGTTGTGCAACTGGTAAGGAATAATTTCATTCATTAATTTTAACCATGAGAATAAACTCTGTCAAATATTTAATCACCAAATTCCATAAAATCAGTGCCCTTTATCTGCCATTGAGGTTAATTGCCTTAAACTCATAGSTGAAAACAAAGTAGGTACTTACAGGATAAAAGTCACAATTCCTGTAAAATGTTCTGTTTATGAAGCTATTAAGTCTTAAATTTTAGCAGTGTTTATTTGAAGCAGTGACTAAGCAAGGTGCATGCTTGTACAGGTTTTGGATTTTCGGCTACAAATTCAAAAGAATTGCAGATGTTGTGTTTCAGAATACCTATAGAGACTTGGCAATGCTCAGAAGCTGGCACCAGAGAGCTCTTATGACAACTCTTTTTTCTCCTTGTCTTTGTGCAGCAGCAGTATGAGTTGGGGCAAGGACTGTAGTCAAGAATGACAGACATTTTTCATGCATGCTGCTGATCTGTTCACTTGTAATGGACCAGAAGATAAAATGCTAAGCCATTCTGGCATCTAATCTTAGCTAGAAGTGTGTTAGCAGTTCTTTAAATATAATTGAGTTCATAACTATGGATTTTTGTTCATATGCCAACCTTTAGGCCTAGGGGTCCTCATTTGCTTGTGAAGCACTGCAGAATGAGCTTAATCCTAAATTTCACTGGTCTTGAAGTGCATCATCCACAGGACATGACACTGGATGTCCTATGTCATTCTCTAAGCCTCCTAATCCCAGTGCTGCTTTATGCAACCATGGCTTGTAAAGGGTGGAAAGCTCCATATTCACTTCACTTGTTTCATGATCATCCTTTCTMCTAATAAATTTTGTTACTATTCTTTATGTCTGTGCAGGAGGAGAGGGTTGGAGATCTGCGTGTTTGTGATTGACCATGGCAGGGGATATGAAAAGATTCACACGAATGCTGCTGGAGTGCAATAGTAATGACAAGCTGTGTGGTAAGATTTATATATTCCTTTAATAAGCTTTCACATGCTGAGCAGGAAGGCCAGCTTCASTAAATAGTGTACCAAGCCTTTTCTCTTCCTCCACCTGTGTCTCAGCATGCACAGAAAGATTTGAAGGGGCTTTCCCTGTATTGTGTTTCAGGGGAGAAATGTTTATGGAGATGGCAGCCTCTGTGGCAGGATTCATCTCACTTAAATTCAGCCATTTTAGGGAATTTCTACTTTGAATGAGGTGTACAGCAGTCATTAAAGATTCCCTGCAGCTTTCCAAAGGACCAGTTTCATCAGATTTTGATTTCATGACTTTCTATAATTTTTGGGAACTGAAAAAATGGTCTTGACCACCTCCAAATCTGGAGACATGAGATAGTTACCTTCACAAGCATTGCTAGTTGCAGTGTGTTCCAGTCAAATTCCAAAGGTGACCACACCCTGTTTCCTTTCAAATGCTCTGTAATTTTACTGGAAAGAGCTGGAGCAGTAATTGCATGTGTATTTGTGATGACATGGCAATATGTAGCCCTTCCCATTTCCCTTGTGCTGTCCCCCTGACAGTGCTGTTTCTGTTTCACTGGTGGATGGTACTTACAAATAGCTACAATTCCTGGCCSCTGTGTTAAGCCATCTAAATAAGTGACCTGAGGTGTGGGAATCTTGGTGATTTCATGCARYTTGGGTACTCAGCACCTTTGATAAATAGGGTGGCAGCACTACYGGTGTTCACTTGCTATTCTGAGGATCAGAGGATGGAACACACCCTTTTGGGGCTGAAAATTACTAAAATGGATTGGGGGTTATACAGACCCAATGTGCATCAGATAGTGCTGCTTATTCCTTGGTTTTCCACTTTCTTTCTCTGCTGACAGTTGTACGTGAATATCAAACTGAAGTGATTGTTGTCCCAGCTCTCCTTGTGGGACTTTTTGTCATTGTGCTCACTGTGATCCTTTGGCTCCACTGTCGAGGCCTGCGAGCAAAGCAGGAGCAATCAGCACCATCTGGAACCCAAGGTAAAAAAAATTGTTTGCAGCCAGAGGAAAGAGTAATGGTTTCAATGACCTGAAGTCAATTCTATTTCTATATTTCTAATTCTAAATTCTATTTCTATTCAGCTCAATGGCTTGAGCTGTTAGGCAAAACCATTTATGAGGATCCTGCTTTGTATCCAGCAATTCAGTAAACATTAGAAAAATTGAGAATCCTGATTTACTCCACTTTGCAGCAGCAGTAGTGGAATCTGTAGGAGAGATGGGTTGAGAAAATCCAAAGTAACATACCATATGTAGTCTGATTAACTTATTGTGGTAACATCACAAGAGCTACAAAGTGGTTTTTTTTTTTTTTATTTTAGTACCAGCCTTCTGGAGGCTACTGCAAGGAGAGTTTTACTGGGGTGGTTATGAATGACAGTAATTTTGATGTAGATCACACCTAGTTAATCTATTTTCTATACTTCCATTTAAGAAATTGAATTTCAAGCTACTGTCTCCCTCTTCCTATGGAGACAATATGAAATGGAATAGGGACTGGTGAGAGGGTGGGGAAGGTTTTATTGGTACACATGTGGCTCTGTGGAAATGAAAATAGAGTTCTCAACTGATTTGGAGTATATAGAGGGAAAAAGCCTCTTGAGCCTTTATTAAGGGAAATAATTGAGAACTGGTAATAAAAGAAAATGGTCATTGCTTGAGCACATAGGAATGAAGCACAAATGCTTCTTATTTGGAAAGTTTATATAGTCAAATAGGGGAGAAATTTCTAGACTGATTCTGTCTTTTCATCAGAAGGAGTGAGAGATAAATTCTTTCTCCTCTTCAAGGGCCAGGCTAAGTAAGAGACAATAAAAGTTCCTTACTTTGTCCTGATTTCCAAAATACTGTGGGGCAAAAATTAAAGGGGATAGAACGATGAGCATCGGCACCTATTATAAGAGTTCATCTGTCTGTTTTTATGCATCGTATGTATTTGTTTTTGTCAGTGAAGAAAAAGAATCAGCAGGAACCTTACTCAACACAGAATCGTTACATCCAGCTGAGTGAGACATCTGTGGAGAGCCTGCTAAATTCTGCATCCTTGACTCTGAAAGAATTAGAAATACCACGAGAGAAACTCTTACCAGGCACCTTGCAGCTGATAAAATACGGTGCCTATGGGGGTGTCTACAGAGCACAGTTGGAAACTGGGAACTCTGGGAAGACTACRACTGTGGTATTGAAAGCCTTACAAGGTGAGGCCCATGATCAGGATCCACTTGGTGCAGGTATCTGTATCCCAGCCATGATGATGCTGGGCAAAACTTTGCTATCAGTACTGGGCAAGAAAAGCTGTGTTCAGCATCCTTAGTAAGTCAGAGCTGTTCTTGTAGGAATGTCTTGGTAGGATTAAAGATTGCTGACCATGTTGATTTTAGCTACTCACCCKGTTCATTGCTGCTTCCATTTGTTGTTTTGTTTTTTTAATTTGTTTTCTTTCATTATTTCAGATGTGGCTAGTCCCCAGAAAGTAAAGGATTTCCTGGAAAGGATTAGATTCCATCAAAATCTTGGCCAYCATGAGAACCTGGTTGAATTGGTTGGATGTTGTGTAGACCAGCTCCCACTTTATATGGTTATGGAAGATGTATCACTTGGTGACCTGTTGACATTTCTGTGGACATGTCGGAAGGTGAGTCAAAAGAAATGATGCCAGAATAGCTTCTTAAATTCCTTGCGTACATACCTGTCAATAAGTCAGAGATGATTCTTTTCATCTCTCAATGCATCCCTCTATATCAGTCAAAACTATTTCCATACCCCAGAGAAATTTTACTCAGGTCTTACTTTTCAGAACAAATTGTATGCAGATTTGTACACAAATAGTCTTCTTTGCAGATTATTGAAGGGCATTGCAGGCACTAGAATTAGATTAAGAATGGATACAGCTGAATTTCTAAAGTTTTAAATCATGTCTCACTTCAAATGCTTTCAATAAAGCAGTGACAACACAAGGGGAAGGTCATGGAGTGAAAACTAATTGGTAAAAGACAGGACATAGAATATAAGGTTGAAAGATTGGTACTTGCACTGGAGGGAAGTCAGCTATCTGGGATGTGGTGCTGTTTGTTGCATGAATTAATAACCTAAAAATGGGATGATAGTGACATGTTGGTATTGCCAAAGATTCAAGCCCGTAAAGGCAAAGGCTGACCCAGTGGAATTGCAGAAGGATCTTCCAAGACTGAGAGACTTGCCAATAATAAGATGAAATTCAGCGTAGTTAAAAATGAAATAATGCACAGGTAAAAGTTTCATGTATGCAAATTATGGCTTCATGTCTGCCTRTTGCTGATGCGGAGCAATATCTGGTGGGATGAGGTCTGATATMATGAAAATATGCAATCCATTGAAAATGTTAACTCAAGCTGAAAAGACCCAAATATCAGGGGAGTTTTAGATTGRATAGCAGGAAAATATTCTTCTCCCAGAGRCTGGTAGGGCACTGAACAGGGTCCCCAGGMAAATGGTCACAAYACCAAGCCTGACAGCTCAAGAAGTGTTCAGACAATACTTGCAGGCACAGGGTGGGATTTTTGGGATGTCCTGGAAGGGCCAGGAGTTGGACTTGATCTTTGTGGGTCCCTTSCAACTSAGCATATTCTGTGATTCTATGACTCCTTGTTACAAAAGGCACAGAAACAAAACTCTACCATGTTACTGTGTAAATCCATCACTCCTACGTCTGAAATTCTAAATACAGAAGGATTGCATCCTGTCTTGTTCAGCAGAAGGTCCAGGTGGTAACAAATAAGGCTGGAAATTGTTGTGTTCAAAACAAACAAAAGGAGTTGKTKCTTCCTGAAGTGAGAAGCTGAGTAATGGAATTYCTTGCCACTGACTGCTGTGAATACTGAGGTCAAGACAGGATGGAATAAAATCATGCAACGTAGCCTTTGAGAGGTTACTGAACATGTTGAAATAGTAACCATCTCAGGAAGTTTTTAAATGGAATGTATCTGTGGTCTGTAAAATGGCACTGGAAGAACATTGTTTGCTAACCTTATTCTCTTTCCCATCTGGGCATCCAGCTAGGGTTATTGTTACAGGCAGGGTGGTAAGAGARATGGACTGTTAGACTCATACCAGGTAGCCATTATCTATGTCAGAAATGTGCTTTTCTACTCATCATTCTAATTTATAATATATCTTTCTTACATCTGTGTGGATTGTCATTCCTTGTTGTCATTCTGACAATTTCTATCAAACCTATTTTTTTCTCCGCCCTTCAGTTTGCCCATCAGTTGGCTTTGGTGTTCTTGTCTTACTCAACACACCATCAGCATCACCCMTCCATGTCCTCTTACATTTCAGTCAATTTCTGACCAATCGTGAGAAGGAGGAGCATAAGACTAGCTAGACTAGAAGGAAACATTCCCCACTATCCTACTACTGTGGCACTTGTTTGAACCAGTGTCTCCTGTCTTGACTTTAGGACGTGATGGCGATGGATGGTGTCCCCTATGACCTCACTGAGAGACAGGTATATGAGGTTGGACAGCAGGTTGCATCAGCTCTGGTAAGTCTGCTCACATTGGCTGAATTTTCCTTCTTGCTTTATTGCAACACAAGTTTCCAGATGGCCTAAGTCTTCTTGGCCCAAGCACTGAGAGCAAATGCTTGGTTCAAACAGCCAAATATGCTTGCATTGTGTTGGTAAGCATATGCCTCAACTCCACAGTGTAGAGGAMAAACATATCCTCAGTGAAAATTTATATCAACTAAATTTCTTCTTAAAATTATCCTGTTTCCTTTCTTTTCCAATTTTCCAGGCTTACCTTGAAGAAAAGAAGTTGTTCCATGGTGACATTGCTGCCCGGAATGTCCTTCTTCATCACAACTTCACTGCCAAGCTGTGTGGTTTGGGCCTGGTCTATGAAAGTCACACACGTGGTGCCAGCTCAGTCACAYGGAAAGTGCCAGTCAAGTGGCAGGCACCAGAGAGGCTCCTGAGCAAACCCCCTACCATTGAGGCAGACATGTATGACTTCATTTTTGGGCTAGAAGTTCTCCTGTTTATCAGATTTGTCTCTTTTCACTCATTTATGTGTCATTTCATGTTCTGAAGTTCACAGGAAGGCAGATGTAGTTTCAGAATAATGCTCCACCTTTATAGCTCACACCATCTCATATCTGCAGGTCATGCCTAGTTATTTTTATGTATTTAAGCCATCAAACAACATTGCTTTGTTTTGTTTTCTTGCAGATGGTCTTTTGGAATTCTACTGTATGAAATGATTACATTAGGTAAGACGATTTAATAATAATAAAAAGAAGTATGTAAGGAAGCAGCAAATTAAGAGGACCCAAAATCTCAAATTTTAGAATAAAGTTGGGCCATTGAAATAAGCACCCTGTTTTTTTCCAGCTTGCAAAGTCTTGCCAGTTCCTTTTAGACTTCATTGAATCATGTTAGGAAAAAAGATGGATTTTGCTAGGAAAGGAAGGCAGTATTGCACAGAAGCTGCTATTTGCAATTGCCATAGTCTTTTCTATCATTACTTTTTTTGCCCTTCCAGGTGCTCCACCATATCCTGAGGTGCCACCTTCTGACATCTTATCATACCTGCAGAAACAGAACATTATGAAGCAGCCCTCGAGCTGCCAGGAAGCCATGTAAGCCACTTGCTTTATGGACAATTGAACATGAGATTGGCAGAGCTAAATGGAAGAGACAGAAAATGAGATCTTACACAAGCTTTCTAGGTCTAGACTATATTAAGGGTCTAGACTATATTAACCTGTTAGCTGAGGAGACTGCCAGATCTAYCTACTGGGTTCTGCTGCATAAAAACTCTGTGGTGAAAACCTTTCTGTCCTTCTTTGGAAAATGACATTTGTTTCTGTAATCCTTCTTTTGAAAATTACTTTTTATTTCCTTATGTGCTTTTGCATTTTGCTGCTCCAGTGCTTCTTTGCAATGTGCAGCACTGCTATGGAATGATCTTTCTTCTTCTAAGTTGTAAGATATTCTCTGAAATGAACAAACCATCCATGGGGAAGATCTAAGGTTCATTTCTTTGTGTGAAGACATAATWTCTTTTAATATTCAGAATATTTCTTCCATAATGCTGTTTCAAAAGTGGATTTCCCATACTCACAGATGACATCCTGGCAAACACCCGCATGCCCATACATCATCATGTGGCTGCAAATTTCAAAGGGTCATTGAAAGAACTTCACATGAAGGAGAAAAAGAGGTTTTCTCTAGACATTTTAAATAGGAGATGATTTGACTTTAGTAGAACTCTGTGTTGGTGCTTCTCATTCCCAGTGCTTCTCCCTCTTCCAGGTACTGCATCATGAAGTCCTGTTGGCAGTGGAGTGCAGCTCACCGGCCTTCTCCAGCACAGCTCCTGTGCTCCCTAAGGACAGCTGTGAAGGCCAGCAATGGGCACACAGTGCTGCAGGTGCCTGAGCCAGTGGTGCCTGAGCTCTATGCTGATATTGCTGGTGTTGAAGTGCACAGCCTAGTGAGGGAATACACGATCCTCTGAAGGGCCCTTTCATGTTTTGCTAAAGGAGAAAGAARTCTCAGAGTTTTCCCTTTCTGAATATTTTGCAAGCCCAGAATGAGGTATGCTTGTTGAAAGGGTTGTTGAAAGGGTTCCCTTTGTTCTTCAGACATCTATAAAATCTCTCCTCCATGCCAGACAAACAAACTGTTATCATTATTGTTAAATCAACCTGTTGGTATTCATTCTGCCAGTGGTCATWTCAGAGTAAAGTGTGTTTAGGAAGCTGTAGAAAATGTAATGAGAAACTCGAGTTAAAGGCGTGTATTAGGTTTGTGTGGCAAGGTTTTGGTGATGGGGTGGACTACAGGGCTGACTTTTGTAAGAAGATGCCAGAAACTTCCCCCAACTCCATGATGGACATGCTGCTGGCCAGGGCTGAGCCCTTCAGCAACACTGGTGGCATTTCTGTGATTACTTATTTAAGAAAGGGTGAAAAATACTGCACAACARGAGGTGAAAGAGAGGAGTGTGAATGTGAAAGGAGCAGCTCTGCAGACACCCAGGAGAGGCAGAAGCTGCTCCAGGCTCCRGAGCTGAGATTCCCCTGAGATTCTGTGCCCCATGGAGAGGCAGCTGAGCCCCTGCAGGCCCTGGAGGGGTGAGGGGGTGCAGAGATCCACCATAAGCCCTGGAAGAGCCCACACTGGAGCAGGGAATGTCTGAAGAAAGGTGTGACTCCAAGGSAAGCTGTGCTGGAGCAGAGTCCTGGCAGAATCTGTGGAGAAGAGTCCTCATTGGAGAAGAACTGCACCCCATGGAAAGGGACTCRTGCTTCATGAGAAGCAACCCTTGGGAAGAACCCATGTGGGAGAAATTCCCGAAGGACCTAGTAGTGTGTGGAGGGACCCCACACTGAAGCAGGGAAAGAGTATGAGGAGTCCTCCCCCTGAGGAGGAAGGAGTAGCAGAAACAATGAGATCAATTGACCATAACCCCCATTCTCCCTGCTGGATGAAAAGAGGTGGAGGAATTGGGAGTGAAGCTGAGCCTGGGAAGGAGGGAGAGGTAGTGGAAGGTGTTTTAAGATTAATAAAACCAAAAGATTGGTTTTATTTCTCATTATGCTTCACTAATTTGATTAACAATAAATTGATTTTCCCATTTGCCCATAATGGTAATTGGTGGATGATCTCTCACTGGTCTTATCTTGACCTAGGAGCCTTTTGTTATATTTTCTCTCCCCTGTCCAGTTAAGAAGAGGAAATACAGAGTGGCTGGACAGGCGTCTGCCATTCAGTCAGAGTCAACCCAGCATGAGGTTTCTGGAAATCTTTTCCCATCCTTTCTGACCCAGAAAAATGCATCAGTTGGGTATTTGAAAGAGGAGATGTCCTGGGGAATATGCTGAGATAGTGTCTAATAAATGTCTGGGATTTCTCCATGTTTTATACTCTAGCTTCCCATGGGAGAGTGAGTATTGTATTCCAACAAACAAACCCACAAACAACTGCCAGGCATCCCTGCCCAACAACAAAACAAAACCCTTCATATCTGTGGATGCATWAGTTGTTACATAAATGTCATACATCTTCATGGAGAGTGTGCCTTCTGTGCAGGTCAGGTGAATACTCYAAAGCTTATCTGAAATTATTTGATCACTCATCTTAATGGACATGCAGACTTAGTAAAAAAATAGAGACACTGGAAGTTAAAACTATTTTACCTTCATTTTAAAAGAAGGAGAATCAGTCTCCTGTGAAACAAATCTTATTTCTGTTTGTGGTTTCTAAAGTTGATGGTGTTGGCACTTTGAGCATTAAAGGTCCTTACTCTAAAAGCACATTAAAGAAATAGTTTAACCATTCTTGTTAAGAGTAGATTCAATACTCATTCAGCATCCCCCCAGCATGGCTCTCTCCATTCTGGTTGGAACAAAATTTATTGGTCTTCTTCCAAGTACAATAGTTMGAATTTTTCTATATTTAATGCAAAATTACATGAATGAAATAGTTGTTTTTTCTATATCACTCTGGCATTGTAAGAAACCATGTTTCCTCCCGTAAATAAACATCATGTGAGTTCATACAGCACGTGTGTCACCATTACACATTGGGACATTGCAAAGTCCATTCAAGAGGGAGCAGTCAACTTTCTGACTTTTCTTATGGTGTTGGCTAATTGCCACCTTGATTTTCATAATGCAGCTGGTGTAAATTTGACTTGGAGAATTGAGATACCTTCTTTCTCAAATGGTAAAATAATAACATCCTATTCTTTCTAATGCACTTGAAAACAGGTTCAAAGCTACCTGGTAAATTAGGTCAAATTCACAGTTGTCTTTGGTGAGTAAACTATTCATTAGAAAAAGAATTGGATTGGTTCAAACGTGCCACTCAAGAATGGGATATTCAGAAAGGTCTTGCCTATGAAAGGTGAGTGTGTTTCAGACAGGTAATACAATCCCAGAGTTGTGAAAGCATCCCCAGTGCTGTTGCAGACCTGACCAGTAATGCACAGGGAGTCTTGTTAAACAGAGCTAAAGGTAACAAACGCAGCACTGTTCTCAAAGCACAGAAAGCAAAGCTCTGGTTTACACAAATGCTCATATTTTGTTTCTCTTTTGRACACTGTAATCAGGGAAATCCATGGGAATTCAGGATGTTGAGCACCTCACAGCCTCTAACAAAAGATCTGCTTTGGTTTCCCCTGAGTGCAAATCTGTGCCAAGACCCTGCTTATGAATTTGCCCACAGAAAGACACATTCCTGCTGTATGATGAGATCTAATTTAATTTCCCTTAAATAAAGTGGCCCTACTCATTCTGTTAAAAGAATGTAAGCATTCTTATTCTGATTTGTCTTTTCGCCGTGTTAGCTTAGGTTGGTTTGGAAGTGACTGAATCTAAATCAGATTAAGTTTTAGTGGCATAAAAGTAATTATACATATAGMGCTACTCTAGTGTAACTTCTCTTCCTGCTAATTTAAGTACTCTATACAGAAATTATTTCCACATGCATTCCATCATGCACTTTTAGGATCAGTGTAGACTCCTGCATGAATTCCTCTTTAGTGAACCCACTGAGAGCTTGGTGGAAATTATGCACAGTTGTTCTGTGGAGAGTCATTTTCAGTGATAGACTTTGCTGTACTTGTTTAATTGGAATATTTTGTTCCTATGAAAAATGTTGACTTTTAATTATTACATTAAAATTTTCCTCAAAGATGACAGGGACATCTGCATAATTTAGTTAGTGTCTAGTGGATTGCTTCCGTGTTCTTCTCAAATGTAACATGTCTTTCACTACACATAAAGGTTTATCTCTCTTACCTGTCTTCTTCAGCATCTGATCACCTTTCCAGTGAGAGACAGAATTAGATCTCCTAAGGATGAGGAAGTCCTGTCCAGAACAGACAAAGTGAAAAAAGTGGTCCAAAAAGTGACAACAGACAGGAGGCACTGATACTAAATATTTCTGGTSTGATTTGGCTTCACCATGCTTGGAATTTTCTGAAACCACATATGAGGAATATGAGCTTTTAAAAAGTCTTTGAACTCCAAAATCTTTTTAGAATTACAGTGGGCATGTAGCAAAGGATAGACATTCAGCCATACAGAAGAGAAGTACTGCAGTACTCTTATTTGCTTTTCTGCATTCACAGAATTGCATTTTGGTCAGTGCTGTGGTTTGGTCATGGGGATGTGAAAATGCATTGTTTATATGCAACCTCCTACAGCTTGTGGTTTTATTTATAGCAGGTGCTGCTCTATCAAGAAATAACAATAATACACAAACACCCCCCCTCAACTTTCCAGGACACATAAAAAGGCTACTTTTTTCACATTAGTTTCAAATTAATCTCATCATTTTGAATGGTTTAACCAGCCTTTCTACCTATAATAAAATACTTGGGGTTTTCCTCTTGCCTTGTTTTTAAACAGCCCCGCTGTTACTCACTTCTGCAAGAGGCATTTTACTTCACASAATCAGAGTCAGAGAATGCCCTGAGCTGGAAGGAAACCACGAGGATCATCAAGTGGAATTGTTCTTCCTGTTGATCTTAAACCAAAGATAAATAATGAAGGGAGGAAAGACATCCTGCTTGTCCTGATTTTTCATTTAATTTTGCTCACTTTTTCAAGTACAACAGTTTCAAAAAGAAAAAAACAAACCTACACGGAATTTCACATCCACCCTCTGATACTATGTGGAAAATGCTCTTTCTTGGTTCTTGTTAATAGCTGTGAGAGGAGCTGTATATTTCTTCTAATTCAATACACATCCAGARTTATCTGGCTCCAGTACAGCCATATGATTACCCAGTCAGCTGCTTTATGTGCCACACATAAAGACGAAAGTSTTTGCAAGGGCTCTCCTCTGTGGAGGTCTGTGAACTAAGTCAGAGGAAGTTAAACCAGAAAAATAATCTAGTTGATTATTTTTTTTGCCAGGCATCACACTGTAATTCCAGTGGAGTTTTTCTTGTCACCTGCTCTTCACTCCAGAAGCAAAGCTGCTGAGCCACTTCACAGGGACCAAAGCACTTGCCTGCACCAGGATTCTGTCCTGGAACTGGTGCTTCTGTCCTGGACCTTGGGCTCCTGGTGATGATGCCAGGGAGGATTGATGGAGAACAGGCACCCTGTAATCAGGTCTGGATTTTGCTTATGAATGARGTAACCAGCATCAGCATGAAAATTATCTTTTCAGCTGTGGTTGGCATAATTTTGGCATCAACTAGTAGCTGATGATTTTTGGTCTTTGCTGGAGCCTTTGTTATTTTATGTGTACCAGGTTTGTGTCTCTATGGTTTATGCTCTTGTGCATTTAAATGGACATTGATTGGGTGACTGTAATGAAGTCGATGTGTTCAACTCCCACATGGCCTTATAGAAATGTTTGATTTTTTATTTGATTTGATCAGCTTGCTATGATTAGTACTTCAAATTTCAGTACRTGGAGGTGATAGGTAAGGCTTGGGTAGGTAAGAAGAGAACATTTTAATGTGGAAAGGCTATAGCAGAGTTGTTGCTACTGGAGAAATCTTTCTTTACTTCTCACCTCAGCCTGTCTTCAAGACAAGCTGATGTTTCCTGCCTGGTTTAAACTAATGTCTTCAGAAAAAGCATTTCCTGTGAGCTGGTATCATCTTTTCAAAGTGTGGCTTTACTGTGGTTTACACTTTGTGAGAAAAAAAAAGAGGAGCCACATACAAGCTGAATTGTCTGTGGCCTAAGTTTTTTTTTTAATAGGTATTTTCTGAAGAAATAGATTCCAGCTCTAAGCTGGAGGAGAGCATGTAGTTTGAGGAGTTATGTTTTAATAAGTGTAATTCCTTAATCTCTCATACTGAATTATTGATTTTATTGATCYTGTTGAATTCAATCCTGCATTCTGTATTTAAATTTTTTTGATAGAATGTACAGTCAGCTGCAGCAGCACAGTGAAGAAATCAGGAATATGGGGGCAGAATTCAGAATTTAGAATTTTTGCTGGTAAGTCTGATGTTTATGTCAAAAATCTGCCCAMAAGGAGCCACAGACTTGTAAAACAGTGCCAAAGTTCTTTGTTCAGTCAGTGTTCATCCTATATGTGATTTCTGCTGTGTGCGCAATTGATTCTGAGCTTGCAGGTTATACTGCATGGCAAAATTAGTAGGAGGAACTGTATGAGCTTGTTTTGCCCCCTGAATCACTATAGTGATTCATGTCCTGTCTGGATGAGTTTGAAATATCAAMGGCCACAGAATTATTCTATAGCAATGGGTCAGCAGCATCCTGCAGCTCACTCCTACAGAACTGTCCCTGACATTGGCATGGACCTGCCAGCTCCTCGAACCACACATCACACAAAGTGTAATGAGGGAGGAGAAGGAGRTCTTTGGCTGTGGAGGCTGTGAAAAATCTCTTCTAGGCCTTATTAAGTCAGATAGCATAAGACAGAGCAACCTATTTTAATTTATTAAGCCCAAGATATCCTTTTCAGTAGCCAAAGGTTTATTGTAAAGATTGATTTAAAAATGTTAATTTCTGATGTCAGGCTGACTGTCCTGTAGTTACCCATCTTCTTGYAGACATTTGCTGCCACCTTTGTTTTGTGGCATCCTACTTTTTTGGGATGGACCATGGTTCAGAGGAGCTGATCCTTGAAAACCAGTCCAGAGCCTCTCTTCTCTACTCTCTGCCATGGGATTTCTGAACACAGATTCCTGRGCAGTCCAAAATCTGTTATCCTAAAGTCCAGGCTTGATTCTGTTTTTTTCTGTTTTTCCCTTCTTTTCAGGAACTCCAGCATAATTACTGCCAACTCTGATCAGTTCTTCTCTGTGTTCTTAAAAATAAATGGAGTATAAGAAGAAAAAGAATGGAAARGAAGTGAAGAAAAGGGGTAGAAAATATTTATAAGTTTGAAAATTAAACATATATGTTCCTGGTAGCCTATAAAATAACATTAATCAAACAAATTTCCATAGAATTATATTTTCATATTTTGAGTAATTCTCAGAATTAGCAAAATGCATAATTTGTGAAGTCTTCTGTTCTGAAGGTACTATAGTTTCTTTTTTCTGTCTGAAGCAAAGTCTCAACCTATCCTTAAGCAAATGTGAGCAAATTTTTTTCTGCACAAATCAAAGAGTTGACAGGAAAAGCTGATWTTGTTGCACAGGTCAGAGAAATTGTTGTTGTGGAAAATGGCTGGCAGTATAAGCACATGATTTTGGTAATGGATTCTACAGATACAACCTGCTTGATATATTCTCTTACTCTGTGCATGTGACATTAAAAGTAGCTCAGAGTTTGATGCAACCGTGGCAGGAACAGGTTTGTCACGACAAGTCTGAAATGGCAAAGCTTTGTTCTGGAGTGGAAGAATTCAAGCTTCCTGTGTGGGTCACCACAATACTYATTTCTCATCTTTCAGTTGTCCCATTTCAGTCAGATGTTAAAGGTTACTTTGTCATCCTGCAGAGTCACACATGGGGAATAGGACAGAGGCATCGCCTGTTTCGCTGTTACATTTCAGCTTCCTCCTGTGGAGTTAAGGTAACCCCCACTCAGTTTTCTTGTCCCAATTATCAAACACATTTGTGTTTTGCTCTATTGTTGATATAAATAAATTGGTATAATTAAGGATGTTGATAAGGATCAAATGTGCCTGCATTGCTTTMATTGATGGTGCTTGCAGTGAAAGAAAGAATGCAATCTGTAAATTATGCCACTAGAATTACCTATTCGCTACATGAGGAAATTTAATTCTTCACCTTTTTCATCTTGGTCAAGCCTAAATTTCTTACTTTTATGATGTGAAGAATACTAGATGACTTCACTCCCCCGTCAAAACAAATTTCTCTGGCTAACAATGACCTATGGAACACCATCAGAGCAGCAGTTTAATCACAAAAGATCGAGCTCTTAGTGAGCTGTTGTCATTKCTTAAACCATTTTGTATTCCAAAATCCTGATTTAGGACATCATTCCTTACCTGTATTGCTTTTCTGCTAATAATATGCTTTATCATTAGAAATGATTCCAAAGTGCTATGAGGAAAGCTCTACTGACCTCCAGGGAAATTCAGATCCAGGCCCAGGCTTTGTGGTGGATGGGCCYTCTAAATCCCAAGTAGAGCAAAGTGAAAAAAAGCAAGACTTGAAAACATGTTACAGTGATAAAAAGGAGCACGTTTATATTAATGTGAAACACAAAACTGCCAAGAAACAGCRGAGAAGACAAGGAACAGAAGGGAACAAGGATACCAAGAACAAAGGTAAAGTCTGTTAATAATGGAAAAGATATATGCATTAATRAATAAGCAATCTAACAGATTTAATGTCTGAATTAGAGATTTGCATTTATATGCCAAAATTTTTTCTCTTCTGTCCTGCTGTTTGAGTTTGGAAAGAATTGGCAGTTCAAGGTAGGTCAAAGTTGGAGACTTGCAGCTCCAACAGAGTGAACTAAGGACTTCTGTTGATGCTGTATCTGTATCAAAAATCAAAACACATTGTATTTGCACTTCCCTTCAGATGTAAACCTGAGTTGTGATTGATGAATAAGCCCCTGTAATAGTGTAAGTCTCAAGGGAGTGAATCTCAAAAGAAAGTGCAATGCACTCATGAAGTATGCAGTGACTGAATATGGCTGGCAGAAAAAGGGGACCAAAAAGATACCATTTTTTTTTATTTACATTTGTATCAGTTGGGTGGATCAGTGGATTTTATCAGCTGGCTCTGTTAATTTTTGTCTGTGAGTTAATCAAATGAGTGGGAATGTCTTCCTAAGTTAGCCAGACCAACATGGGGGCAGTGTATATACTGCTCAGCCTAATACATATTTCTTCCTGGTGCCAGCCAGCATCGCAATGGTGAGTATATCATAAATTCTGCCATCACATTTGTACTGTGATTCATCTCTGTATTGAAATTGCTACATTCTGCTAAATTGCACATATGTTGTGCTTCCAACACATAGCTGTGTTATTCTGCTAAATCAGAATCTCATTAAACTTCACGTGTCTTCAAATAATCAAAATAGTAATTAAATGTTAAATTATCAATGTGTGGAATATGTAAAGGAGCCCTGTCAGACATTGTTGGACTCCTGACATGAGTGCAGGCTGAGATAAACTGACAATGCAGTTTGACATAAATTGTATTTTTAGAGCTAATCCCCCTGAGAAATCATTTATATTCTTTTTCCTTCTTGTTAGGTTCTCCTCTTTCACCTATTACCCGCTGGATTATTGCAGCAATTCTCGGGATTCTCTTCTTGGCATTGCTGGGAATAACAGTGGGTTTTATTACCAAGGGTAAGAAAATCTCCTTCACTGAAGCTACTTAATTGGAATTTYGAACTTTATCAGGGAGAACAGCAGAGCTCTTGAAATCTGCTTGTTGGTCCAAGAAAAATGTGGACCTCTTCTCTTTAAAAAAAGACTCACTTTCTCACCTATTTCCATCTGGAAAATGTATTCCCTTCACAGATTCCTTCAGATACTCTGATTCTTTGCCAGTCTCAGAAGAGCTCCTGGGATGGCATTACTGTAATTGGGGAGAATAATTTTCTGAAAAGAATGTATTTGTGAAGTGTGTTTGTTAGAAACTAGGCTATGACARTGAATGGGAAGAGAGCTGTATGATTCTTTTTCAGGCTGTCCATGTCTATGCTACCCTGAGCAATGGGTGACCTACAGAAGCAGGTGCTACTTMTTCTCCAAGGAGAAGAAGGACTGGAATTCCAGCCGGGAATCCTGCTGGGCACAGGGAGCTCATCTCCTGGTCATCGGCAATACCAGGGAAAGGGTTTGTGACTTTGCAGGGGCAAGGGCAGGATGAAGGGGGAGCAAATCCCAGTCACTATTATGGCCAGTTCCTACCCTCTGGGATGATGGCAGGGTGTAAAAGGCTCCTGGGACCCACGCACCACACTCCTGCGTTGGCAAGACAAGGCTTTTCATTATACACTTTGCAAGAGGGACTCCTCTCTGCTTGCCTTGGCTGAACTTGTTCATCAGTTTTGTTCAGCCCTCAGAATCCACAGCTGGGAAAGCAGCCTGGCATGCTGAAATGCTGAGCATCACAAAGCAGGTCCCTGTAGGAGGGAAGGGAATACATGTTGACATTGAGAAATGGACCCAAAACTTCCTCTCTCACATAGTGCTCTTTTCTTTGCCCTTCAGAACCCAGGACTTGACTGAGTTTCTCTGAGTCTACTGATCTTCTGTCTTTCTGTCCCTCCTAGGACTTCTTCCTGATACAACACACCAAACCCCACTGGATTGGTTTACAGAAGAATGCTGATGGTGACTGGGCCTGGGAAGATGGCTCAAAACTGAGTGACAAAAAGTGAGTATGAAGTTTTCTTTGTATTTTTAGATAAAAGGCTTGAGATACTTCCCCCCTCTTACATAAAAAGTCCCATTGTATTCGACAGAAGTCAACCAGTAATGAATGCGGCTGCTAAGGGTTGTTCAGAGGGGCCATAGGCTCTAGCAGATAAGGGCTTCCTCCTGCCCAGCTGCCASAGCCCAGCTGGGTGCACGTAGACCTGGGAATCTGTATCCCAGGCCAATGGACACAGCTCCTACATTCCTGTCTGTTGTCCAGTTGTGTGTCCCAGAGACACAGATACAGGCGCACATGCAAGCAAAGGACTGTGACACAGCTGCCCACAATCATCAGATGCTCAGACTCATCTCTTGTTTTACCTCGTCTCCTCTCTTCACTCCCCATCCCCTAAAAGTTTTGCACAAGAACACAGGCCTGCCTTGAATATACTCAAATCCTTCTCTTCCTCCTGCATTCCACCTTTCTTTCAGTTGCAAAGCCCACYGTGCCCCTGTACAAAGCTGTGGCTGGAGGTTTTTGATGGCCCATCAATTAGTGTTTGATGACTTTTAGTCTTTGCAGTTTTGTCTGTTATTGAATGTTTGTGTCTGTGGATTTCTGTTAAATCACTTCCTCCTCATTATGCTCTTTTGCACTAAAAAAGTCCTTGATTGGATAACCTTCATGAAGCAGAGGCTTCCAYTTTTCACATACCCATACAGCTGGTTTTAACTGGGATACTTTATACTTTCTGACCCAAATGCTTTTAGTAGAACAGCAAAAAATCCCTTGAGAATCCAAACATTTTGCTCTTTAGTGGTAGGAAATGGAGAGCCCACAATGAGACTGACAGACTGCAGGTCTCACATTGAACTCCAGGCATCACAATTCCCACTGCCAGACCTCCCATGTCCTGGGATGGATCCCCCCTGACATCAGCTCATGAAGTCTAACTGCAGCAGGTCTCTTCCCTCCAAAACTGTGAGATGTTCTTCCCCCTGACAAAGTGGGGATCCCTGTCTAATGTCCCCTTGCATGTATGCTCCGTTTCCCACAGAGTCGTGACCAACAGCCCTGCACAGAAGTGTGCCGTTCTGCTGGATGGTGCCATCCATGCTTCCAGCTGTGAAGTCCCTACCCCATGGATCTGTGAGAAATCTGTTCAGTGTCCTCTGTGGACCTTGTCTTAGGAAGTGTTCTTTGGAGAACTGTGCTAAGGCCTGATTCCTGTGAAGTTTCTCGTAGGGGAGCTGTGCTCCTTGCTCCTGTGCCACCTGCCATAGTGGAAGGAATGAAGGTAGCTGCCACAGGAGGTCTGAGTGCTGCTCCTGGCTCCATTCAGGATCACTCTCGTGATGYTCATTTTCATAGCCCTCAGTTAGTGATAGGCAGTCTCAAAGCGGTAGAGAAGAGGGAGGAGATATTTCTCTGAGTTGYTCAGTCATTTTCAGAGGTATTTGAAGACTGTCACTACTGTCCTGAAATCCTAGGGAGAGATGACCTTGTGATCTGTGAGCTCACACAARCTCTGAGTTTATTTCCCTCTCTTGTAATCCCTGATGATGTGCACCAAAGCTTAAAGTTAGCCTGAAGTTGGAAGTTGCCYTGTTATTCCAGGTGGTTGGATCAGATGATATCCACAGGACCYTTCTAATCTAAATTCTTCTGTGGTTTATGTTTGTACCTAGAGAAAACTGGTGCATGGCTTCTAGAGTTACACTGCTGTGTAAATAGCTGTGAAGGAGTAAACCTGCTATCCTGCTGAGACAAAAATAAACACGAATTGCTTCTAACAATTTCTTCAGTAGTCACTTTCTCTGTTATTGCTTTATTTGCTATTGCTATCTCTATATTATTGCTTAATGCATTAAGTGATTAATAAATGGGCAAAGGGAAACTGATGGTAGTAACAGAGTCAGGAGAGCAGGGGTGAAACATTCTGCAATAACACTGCAGCAGAACATCTCTTGCAGAAAAGGACAGCCACAGCCACTGAAATTTCCCAYCCCAGCTCTGCCCAATGGATTAAGGACCGACACATTTAATTTTCTCTGTAGCCAGATGAGTGCAGCCCTTCATCTTCCAGTCCCTTTGTCCTAAGGCCCACCTCAGCCATGATTCAAGTGCCCTGCACCCTGCCCCCCCCCCAAGAGGTCTGTTTGCCCCCACTCAGAGTTTCCTCTAGAACAGCTCTCTCCCTAAATAAGTCTTGCCAGACCACTCAAACAGCCCTTCATTTCATGGGATTCGGTGGACAGATAAAAACAGTTCCAATTTTTGTTACAAATAGGCCACAGTCACACCAACTCCTATGCTCCAMAGCAACACCTTGACTATCTGACAGGATGCCTGTGATGACTTTTTAGGGACAATCTGGTGCTGTTTTATGATAGTATTTCTTAAAATACCAGTGATAATGTTGTTACATTAATTGCCCTAAGCAGTCATGATAGAAGTTACTGGAATTAGCTGGAAGAAGTATGTTTGTCTCAGTAATAAAGTTGTTTTTTACCAATAAAATTGAGATGCTAGTGTAACACCCAGGTTTGAGATGACACAATAGTTGTTGCCTGGAGAACATTTCAGAAAATCTCATCTTTAGCACCCCTTTGGTAATAAAAAAAAAWGTAAGGGTAATTAAAACCATGCAAGAGTAGTAGATTATTATTTTCCTGCATTCTTTATAGATATCTTAAAATTGTTTAAGTCTCATCATACACAATTTTATTCTAAAATTGTAACCCATTCAGAAGCCATTAAAAACACTTTGCAAAGTTATTTGTTTGTTTTCGTTAGTTTTCTTAAAGAGCTATTCACTTTGAATCACAAAAACCAGCACASCATGTGAGAAAAAGCAGATTCTCCAAATACTGCAATAAATGATGTTGTTTTCTGTATTTCTTCTTAGCAGAATGTAAAGCAAACCAGGCAGGATCTTTGGCTTTTAAATTCCTCTCCCCTGGGGCATTGTTWCAGCCTCTGAGGAGCACTTTCCTATTTAACATGTATATATGAATCTCCTCATGAATATACAAGCCTTTTCTCTGCACATGACATTTTTGTCCTRTTCTCCCTATAGAGCCTGAGACATGAAAGAAATAGGATTGTGTTATTTCTGCAAGTTTGTGACTTTTCATAATCAACTATTATATTTATAAACTATACAGATGACACTGGAGATATGGAAGATTATTTGGGCTATGGAGTGAAACCAGTGTGTACACATTTTAATAAAAAAATATTATAGCTCAGCTTTTTTTAAAGGCATTGTAGATTGTTGAGCTGCTAACCAGAAAAAAAAAAATGAAGGCTTCTGCTAAGCCTTATCCTCTTTGTCTTTTAGCCCCCATTTTCCAGGGGGGGTGTGAAACAATTTTGGGATTCATTTTTGTGTGACAGTACGAAGTACAACAGCAATTACAACTCTTGGGCTTTCTCTTAGGCGAATATAAAAGTGTATCTGCCTTGCTTTTTATCTTGGTGAAAACCCTGTTAACTTTCTGCTCTATGCTGCCTTCAGGATGTTAAATGACTAAAATTTTTCTTGTGATATTTTATACAATTTGAAAGCAGTTCTGCTGTGTGCCCAGTGTCAGAAAAAAAAAAAACCTGGTGAAAAAACAAGTTTAGATAATCAGTTGTTTTTAAAGAATTTGTATCTCTAGTCTGTTTTGTTTAACAATATTAATCACAGAGGCAGAAGGGAATTTTTCACTGTGATCTCACTTCTTTCGTATTGCCAGCATTTTGGGTATTGGAATGGTGAAATATCCATTAATTCCACTATTCTGGTTTGGGGTGGAACTTTCAATAGATTTTCAGCTAAGAACTTCTGAGACTAGGTGCTATTTTATCTAGCTAGCTTGGAAAGCAGACGAAAATATCATGTCTGTAAAAAAACCCTGGTTTATCAGCCTCCTACAGGAGTAGATGCTGCCAGATCTGGCAGTTCTTAGCACTTTGAACCTTTAAAATATGCCTTGCAACAGTAATTAGCTAGCAGTAAGTAACATGTTTGAAATAAACTTCCAATTAAATGCAATATTTCTGAAAATGTGCCTTTTGATATTTTCAATTAGTTTAAATTCCCTTTTAATTTTTTTTCATTACTTCTTGATTGGAGTCTTGTCAGTTGTCATAAAATAAAGCATGTAGGTGAGTCAGACCTGCTAATTAATTTTGTTTTTCTGTTTGTTGTTTGGTTTTTTCTTTCAAATTCCCAAGTATGTTGATGAAATGCATTTGATTACTGTTACAGTGTTATGGGTTAAGGTTTCTCCTTTTGTTTCCTTTCTTGGGGAATTTTTCTTTCCCATTTTGTTRCTGGGATACACTGATTGCCAGGTCATCCTTTTGATGGCTGGGTGATTGGTGAAGATTATAGAACCTATGCCCCACCCAAAGGATCTTCCTGGGCACTTCTCCTGCCGGGCAGCTTTTTTATCCCTCTCTTTGGAGAGAGGGAAGTTCTCGCTGGACTTTCAGGCTCGGGGAGGGGGTGTGTGTGTGTATGGGGTGGGGGGTAGCTTCACTTCCTGCCCTGCTTGGCTCGGAGGAGGACGGTCAACCTGCTGCCAGCGGGGTAGAGCTTGCCTGCCACTGCTGCAGAGCCCAGCATCTCCGCTCGTTGGTTCCTGTTTGCTGCACTGTGATCTTCTGCCCCTGTGCCTTGCCGGGGGCCCCAGAGATTCCAGCTGCAGTGGTTGAGTTCTGCTGCATCCCATCTGTAGCTGCAGGATTCTGCTCGTCTCTTTGCTCATCCGGCCGTTCTGAGGTTTCTTGCTGTCCAGAGGAGCATCAAGATCAGCATTTTCCACTTTGAGTTTGCAGAGGAACTTTTTCTCCATCCATCTCTGCCATTTTTGTGTCCGCCTTTGGCCACGCGGGAGATCTGAACCAGCCAGGACCCGCGCCACAGCGCCCCCTGCAGCCACCAGGGAATCATCACACCCGCCCTGCCCGGCCGGGAGCCAACAGCGCCCCTGCCGGCTGGGACTGTAACTGCACCAAAGGGGAGGCTGTGTCTCTGTGTGAGGCTGTCATTGAGTTTGTGTCTGGGTTGGTTGTTGCTATTGTTGTTGTTACTTGTTCCACCTTGTTATACATATTAGTAAAAACTGTTATTCCCTTTTAATCATATTCTTGCCTGAAAGCCTGTGATATTCAAAGCTGTAATAATTCGGAGGGAAGGGGGGGGTTAAAGGGTCCCTGCCTTCATTGGCAAACACCTGTCTTTCAAACCAAGACATACAGTCTCCAGAAAAAAAAAATTGCTTAAAGGAAACTTGATTTTGTCAAACTACTTGTTTTTATGCCAGAGAAGAGAGATTTTAAGCTGCTGCTTACAGATGAAGCAAGATGTTATTGTGCAACTCTACCAATCTCAGTGCCATGGATCTAGCCTAGAGCAGAATCTTGTCTCAGATTTTAGATGCAGCAGAGTCTGCTCTGATAAAAAAACAAACCAAAGCTTTTCTATAGCGCCAATGAAAGTGGGAGCAAGCATCTAATATTTTTCTTCCAGTGTAAATCCTTAAGGCTCCTTTGATGCTCTTTCCTAACCTTTAAAAACTCCTTGGTATTTCTTGCTCCAGAGAAGTGTATTAGTTACTCTGTCATTGTTATCCAGCTGGAAGGATACGGTTATTCTCCTTTACACTGTAAATACTTTCAGAGGATTGACAGAAAACTTCATAGCATGGGATGCTACTTAATGTCATGCTCTTCGGTCATGCACTAACATTATTGAATCTGTCCCWATAGATGACTTGATAATCTCTGTTCCACACTTTGGAGATTCACAGCTCCTACACCCCATCAGGCAGACAAATGAATATCTTACATAAGCAGTGGCTATTTGAGTCTTTTGACTAAGACATGAGTTTTTAATAGAAAATGCTTATGATAGTTATTGAAAGTCGAAAACCAGAATAATGGGGTTTTCTGTCTCACACTAGGTCAGACTAGTTTCAACCCATSTCTTTTGCTGCACTTTTTAAGAGGCAGTACAAACTCCACAGAAAACACATTATCCCCAAATTGTAGCCACCCTGCATAATTTTTCTCTGTTCTTTTCTTATGCAATTCCATATTCCATTTTTACTGCTTTCAAAACTCTCACATTATGCATGGCTTACATATTTCATTTTTCCAATCAAAACCATGCCATTTAGAAACAGAATAAATTTTTCAAGCAATGCTTATGAATGTGTTATTTCAGTATTTCTGGAAGTATTGATCCAGACTGAGCAGACAGTATCCCCCCTGCTTCTGCTTCAGAGCCCTGATGCTTAAATGTTTTTTCTACCCTGTAGGTAGCTGATCAGTGATTGTTTTCTGCAGCTCAAAGAACAGCTGCCTTTTCTTAATTAAGATGACCATTTCAATATCAATGTCTGCTGATTGCTTTGAGATCCTTTGGAAATGGAAGTTAGACTTGTCGTAGGATGCAGCTTATGCAGAACTATCACTCAGACAAAACAAGACCTGAATCTGGTAAGTCCTAAGAAAAACAAGGAAAGCAAAAACAGCTGTTACAGGAAAAGCTTAGCCAAGGCTCTGAACTACATCCTTGCTGTTCTGAATAACTCGGGCATGGATCAGAAAGAAACACAGAGGAACTYGTAACAACCTTACATCCTTGTCACATGTAAGTGACTCCAGAAATGACCATTCATTAACATGTGGAGAAAGCTAAAGCAGCCTTGCCTGAGCTGAAAATGAAGTAATTGGTGACTTTTTTGGCCATCTCCATTAAGCAGCAAACAATTGTGG